CCCACTCCCTCCCTTCCACTCTCTCTAAAAATCAATAGAAAAAATATCCTCAGGTAAGGCAGAACAAAAAACAAAAACAAAAGGGGGCAGAGTGGTGCTGCTTGAAAACCCCAGTCCTGGACCATTTCGTGAGCTGTCCTCTTTGACTTAATTGTACATTTTCAAAACCAGCCCCTCTCATTTCACCTGGGAGAAAAGTCACTCCAGGACGTCAACTAGTTCAGGGCCACGCAGCCAGTGAGTGGTGGTTGGAACTCACACCAGTGTCTTTTCCACTATAATGCACTAGCCCACAGGTGAGAGCATGGAAACGACCCCAGTAAAGACTAGTTTCCAGTAAAGACTAGTTTCTAGGATATTGTCTGAGAAAAGAAAACAATCTAAATACATATCTAGGCCTGGTTTAAGCACTGAGGAAGTCACCATATGCCTCAGAGGACTGACAGAAGGTTCCAGGAACCCCTCTCTGACCCCAAGCTTCTCTCCACCAGGTCCCTTCACATTCCGGACAACACGGTGGAAACACCAAAACCTTGACTCAGGGGCCTCACCCACCAGGCAGCTGAGACAGGCTGGGGGCAGGTTCTTCTGGGGCTTTTCTCATGACAGAAGCAATACAACATCAGCCAGACACAGACACTGTGTCAGTTCAATGGATTAACAGTAGCCTCCGGGCAAAGTCTAACACACCAACAACTACATTCAGGTTCTTCATACCTCAGAGGCTGCTCTAATCAGATCCCAGTATTTCTGTCCCCCACCTCAACGCAATCACTAGCGAGAAGCGCTCCTGAAGTCATGGTAGAGCTCTCTCACAATGACTTTCTCAGAGCTCCTAATTTGCTAAGCACCTACTTAACTCCCCCCCTGCTTTTTAATCCTCAGTTGAGGATATTTTTTCCATTGCTTTTCAGAGAAAGTAGAAGGGAGGGGAGAGAAACACATTGATTGGCTGCCTCCCACACATGCCCCAACCAGGGCTGGGGACCAATCTTGCAACCGAGGTACATGCTCTTGGCCAGAATCGAACCCTGGGCCCTTCAGTCTGGAGGCAGATGCTCTAACCATTGAGCCATACCAGCCAGGGCTTGACTCCTCCTTTTAAAGTGGAAGACAAAAATAAATGCCTTTCAGGAAGCCAAAGGCAAGCGAGGGAAATGGTCTGTGGGAATCTCATGAAGCCTGTCTCCATTCTCCAGTGATCTCATCATAGATGTTCCCTGTCACCTGCCAGTGAGGGTAAGCAGACACCTTCCCTCCAGCCAGGACGTCCTCAATAGGTTCCAACCCAGGTCAGTCAGCACTAGCTCGTCCAGGCACCTGCCTGTGACTCCCTGAGGCTCCAAGCCTCAGACCTCAGCCTCCTGGCGCAGGTGTCCCAGGTGTCCACAGCTTCTGCAGGGCCATACCTTCTGGGCTCTGTCCTTGCCCCTACCACCTCCTCCTCCTCACCCACAACCCTGTCTGCTCACCTTGCTCCTGGACAGTGCACCCAGGCCTTGAGCCCATGCTCTGAGACCTGCACATGGGCTGGTCTCTTGCCAACATCTCACCACCCTCTCAGAATATGAATATTTAAGAGGCAGGGACATGCTCACTATGTGGCTTTATGTCCACTTGCCTCATTACTTGTGGCGGAAAGGTCCACCGCCATTACCAAATATTTATTAAATGCACCTCCTTCGGGTGAAAGTGAACAAAGAAGCCTCACAGATCCTAACTGAACCAGAGACAAGAAACGTAAGTACGGCTGTTTTAAACCGAGAGCAAGCTTTTTAAAATGCACTTCTACAAACTCACCATTTCTAGATCTCCATCGGCAACTGCTCTTAAAAGTTTTTCTACCTTAATGAAAGGAAAAAGAATGTCAGAAAAATAATTTTAATAAAGTAATAATAAAAATAATAAGCCCTGGCTAGGTAGCTCAGTTGGTTAGAGCGTCGTCCGTATACACCAAGGTTGCAGGTTCGATCCCTGGTCAGGACACATACAAGAATCAACCAATGATGCATGAATAAGTCAAACACAAATCGATGTTTCTCTCTCTCCCTCCCTCTCTCTAAAATCAATAAAGAAAAATTAAAAATTAAAATTAAAAAATCATTCTGAAAGCTTAGCTTTCATTTGTCTCTTAATTTGTAGTTTTGACTCAGTATCTTTCAAACATATCCCTAAAACTGCTGAGACAGGACATCCTAAGAGGGTGCTAATGTGCACGGAACCCATTACCATGCAAGGTCTGTAAAATGACACTGCTATTTATGTGGCAAAATGAGAAGATGGCCACCCCGAATCACAAGCACTCCCTAGGAGGCCAGCCACCCTTCAGAACTACATATACTCAGCTCTCATATTCTGCTAGCTGAGGGCGCATAAGGGGGACACCCCTTCCAAGAACGATCCCAGGTGTCTGTTAGACTCTAGAGTGTGTCTCTTGGTTTTCTTTGATGTGCTTTTGCACTGAGCTAAGCTTGCTGCGCCCTCCACGAGCTGGTTGGGGCCTGGGGGTAACAGGAGGAGGGGTCTGAGGTAGAGTCAATAGGGTCCCCAACCCACAGGGGAACAAGCAGAGGAGCTATGGCACCTCCATGCAATGCTCTGCTCTGTGGGCTGACAGTGAACAAGCTCTAAGACAGATTAAATGGGAAAAAACCCACACCAGGCAATATATCAGCTTTTACAAAACGCAGTGTGTGAGTTTATGTAAATATTATGTAAATATCTACATAAACTCTGCAAGAAGTCAGGAAGGACCTGCATCAGGTTAACAGGGGCGCTTATGGAGTGGGAGGTAAGGGCAGAGAAAACTTACTTTGTAAAATGATCTTATATCAGTGGACCTATAGGTGACTTGACTTGTACTTTTCTTAGAATAGTCTCTCTCTCTCACATATACACACACACTATCCACAAAGCAAAGAGCTGCTTAGGAAGCAGACCACGAAGGGCAAGCAGGGCGAGAATAGTCTGGGCTCCTATCCAGGGCCCTGACCTCCACCACAGCAGATGAGGCTGCCCCAGTGATGGTCAGCAGGCTGCCTGGGTGGCCCTCAGGCCCTGACTCTTAACCAGGGCCATAACACAGGGCCGTGCAGCCCTCCTCCTGCCCTCACATCTGGGGGCCTCACCTCTCTGTAATCCTTCTTGGGCTCCCCCCGTCTGGAGCTGATGGACACAGAGGAGAAGCTGGAGCGCGAGGACCCCTGGCTGATGGAATCCATGGAGTGTGGAGGGGGTGGCACAGGGACCTGCAGCAAGGAAGCCAGATGAGAGAAGAGACAGGTAAGGGCCAGAGAGGATGCCCTGGTCACCAGTAGGGCCAAGGACTACAGCCCCGTTCACTTACCTCTGCAGACCGTTGCCTCCTTTCACAAGACAGATGGCGGGCTTCCATTATGGACAGAATCTAGGCAGACAAATGGGACAAGCAAAGAACTAAATGAGCTGGGTCACCAAAGCATCACCACCCACAGCAACCCACTGACGGCCCATCTCCTCGGAGGGCAGGCAGCTCAGCCACACCCTTGGAGAGACAGAGAAAGCAAAGCCTGGCCTGGGTGGGAACTCACTCAGGACCACGCTGATTAACTCAGGGCTTCCTTCTGCCACATCATCGCTCCTGCTGCCTGACAGGAGGAGCTGGTGCTTCCCAGGAACAGCTCAGAGGACAAGAGAAACCCAGCCACGCCCAGCCACAGAAGGGGCCTCAAAGGCTGCCTTTGGGGAGAGGGACTGGGGAGGAGGATGGGACGGGGTGGAACAGGTCACTGGGGAGAAAAAGGGACATCTGTAATATTTTAAACAAAAATGAAATTTTAAAAATTAATTAAAAAAAAAAAAAAGGCCGCCTTGTCCAGCGCCCTGGGCTATTTGTCCACAGGAATAAAGTGTGGCCCTAGCTGGTTTGGCTCAGTGGTTAGAGAGTCAGCCTACGGACTGAAAGGTCCTGGGTTTGATTCTGGCCAAGGGATGTACCTTGGTTGCAGGCTCGGTCCCTGGCCCAGGTTGGGGTATGTATGCTGGAGGCAACCAATTGATATGTCTCTCTCACATCAATGTTTCTCTCTCCCTCCCTCCCCTTTCCGCTTTCTCTGAAAAGCAATGGAAAAAATATCCTCAGGTGAGGATTAAAAAAAAAGGAATAAAGTGTGGTCTTTCCACTGGCACCCACGAGCAGCCCAGAGCAGACTCACACAGGCAGCTGTCTCCTTCCCTCTGCAGACCTCCCTTGGGAAGGGACCTTTGGTAGGAGGTACAGGGGCAGAGGAGCTCTTGGCTCCTCCAGGGCATCTCAGTCCATGGGTGGCACCGCCCAGTCCTGTCAGCTGTGGCTGCTACAAAGCAGAGACCTTCTAAGTGCACAGGGAGGGCACAGGCCGAGTCCTGCCCCCAGGGCATCAGTGCGATTTGTCCAGCATGGCCAAGACCTAATCTGTGGACACTGGTTTTGTTTTAAAGTCATATTCATTCTCCAAGATAAAAAAAAAAAAAAAAATCTACCTTTGAGTTTAATGCACACTGGAGGGGTGTTTCTTTCCGTCTGTTCTGGATCTCTGTGGAGGCTCCATTCTGTAGCAACGTCTCTATGATGCCTTGGTAACCCCAGCGTGCAGCTATGTGTAGGGGAGTGTCTCCTTTCTCATTACCAATATCTAGTCTGCATGACTGCACGTCATAGTAGACCAAAGCCTTTACACACTGTAAGGAAATTGGAAATGCCACCATTAACTCACATGCCAAGCCCTGTGCATTGCACAGCCTCGGTCCAGGTCCCAGCTCAATCGAGCTCCACTAACCAAGCGACTGTGCAGTAACAGAGTTAGAACTCCAGGGTTCCAGGTTACCTGGTCAGGATACCTCACTTTCTCAAAGAACTCAACTGTCCGTCAATAAGGAATGGCTGAATAAACTGTGACATATTCATGTGCAGAAAGGCACTGCCACAGCAGGCTCGAGACCACAGTCCCTGAAAGGCCTGACTCCAAGGCTGGCCCTTGTCCTGCAGATTCCTTGGGAGCCTGGATTTGGGGAGTGTGTTTTCAGCCCCCTGCCTGATAAGAGGGGCTCACTGCGCCTAACTTGTTTGTACAACAATGTGGTTGTCGCTAAACACCTGCTTTCCTTCTACGAGTCTGGAATTTTGGTACATGCCAGGCACAGGGTGTTTACATGACCAGTCTCCAATAAAATGTGGCCCAAGTGCCCCAATGAGCTGCCCTGGTAAACAATGCTTCATAGGTGTTGACACAACTCACTGAACCAGGGGGCAGTCTTAACACTGACAGCACACGTAACTGGTTACCATAGCGAGGAGACATGGGCTAGATCTACATGTACTGACCTAGAGGATTTCCATAATGTACCACTAAGTTAGGAAAGCAAGTTACACGAAAATGCAGAGGGTATGATCTTGTTCTGGCACATTCCGCCTAACCCAGCCTCAACCCTACATACGTATAAATCTACCTGCATGTTCCTATGAAGAGGGGGAAGAGAGAACAGTGAGGAAAAAATAACACACTGTTCAATATTAAGTGAAAATGGAAGTTATAAAATGCCTTGATATTACAATAAAAAGGTAAAAGGTAGAAATTGAATGTGAACAAAGGATCAGATGGTAGCAGGGATGAATGATAAGAACTTATTTTTACAATAGACAATGGGCAATTACGTTTCAGGTTTGTTATTTCAATGTAGTAGCTACAATAAACTTAAACATTTTAATTTAAAAAATTACATGCCAAATTTTCCAGTAATTATCCACACACAGTACTACACTAAACTAATGAGAAATTCACATTTCTTCACGCGAGAGAAAGGGTGCACGGCCAGGGACAGCGAGACCACTTACGTCTTCGTGGCCGTGCGCGCAGGCCAGGTGCAGCGGGGTGTTGCCGTTGCTGTCCTGCACGTCCGCGCCCGCCTTGTAGTGCAACAGCAGCAGCTTCCGGGGGGAGGAGAGAGCGGATGAGCAGCAGCAAGGCCGCAGGGCAGGCACATGCTTCCTCAGCAAGTGTGGCCTGCAGTCTTACAAGATTTTCAATCTCATTTACCTAGTCTACAAATAAACACTATCATCACTCTCGTCCTTCCTTACAAAAAGTTGAGATTAAGGAAAAAAAGCCTATACAGCCCCACCCCTCTAGCCCCAGATTATCCGGACATTTCGAAACTAGACGGCACAGTTTTGTCCAGGGGTGGAGGGGCCTCAGACTCGCCCCCTGCTGTGCAGCCGCAGCACAGCCAGTGTGGGGCAGAGGAGCGCAGCCAGCACGGCTGGAGTCAAAATGCAGAGCCCAGCTCCTCCGATCACGCACCGGGTGGCACCGTCACCCCCGCTCACCGTCACGCCCTGATAGCCCTTCTGACACGCGAGGTGAAGCGGCGTTGACCCATGGTAGTCCGTGGCGGTCACCACAGCGCCTTTGGAAACCAGGAGGTCAATGAGGGATGCCTGGCCTACAGAACAGAAGGACTTCACAACGGAGAAGGAAAGAGGAGCGGCTCTCAAACGCCTCGGCGTGAAGCCACAACGCCATTTTACCCTCCTACTGCCTGGCCCCAGACACGCCAGGAGGTGCTTTCCTGCCTGAGAGGAACCGGAGCTAACGTCAGGTCAGACTCTGCACACGCCTGGCGCTCTGGGGTGGCCCTTACAGGGGACTCGGCTCCAACCACTTCTCAGCAACAGAAGGTAGTGGAAGCGAGCCTTAGACACCCATAGCAGGCTCCACAGTTCAATTCATAAGGAGGAATACTGTGTATTAAAAATACACTGACAAGGAGGAATGGTCTTACAGAGTGCCAAGTGAAAAAAGTGCAGCACAGAGCAGCACGACCCCCACAATAGCATGTGTTTTATATTCATACGCACACAACCGCGGGGAAATTCCAGATACTCAGAAATCAAAATGACCTCTGGGAGACAGAAGGATGGCAGGTGATACTGGACAAGTTTGCGTTTTCTACTTTGAATATGCTCTTTAAAAGACAGTAAAGTTATTTTTTAAAAGCCGGACATAAGAACCCCAACTCTAAAAACATACTCATAGCTCAGACCACTGGCCCAGGGCAGCAAGAGCATGGATACGGCCCGGGGCAGCGAGAGCAGGGGTGGGTATGGCCCAGGGCAGCGAGAACATGGATACGGCCCGGGGCAGCGAGAGCAGGGGTGGGTACTGGCATCCGGGAGCAGCACAGGAGGCCTGTGGAACGTCTGCTCCTCTCTTCTAGGGAGCTGCCAAGGGTGGGGCCATATTCAGCCCCTTTCACCACCCCAACTCCACCACACCCCACTGGCCAGACCTCAGACCTCTGCTGGGCCATCCTTGGCTCCATCCCTTTGCCTTGACAAACCCCAGAGGCCTACCCAAGACCACATACCACAGAGGGCAGCCACATGGAGTGGTGTATGACCCCTGTCATCTCTGGAGAATGGAGTGACGACTGAGGGGTCATTCAACCTCCTAGAACAGAGAAAAGATAGAGAAAAAGACACTCTAAGAAGGGCAGGGCAAAGCCTCCTCCTGACAAGGTTAGCCGTGCCGGGGTCTTGGAACTGGAAGATAGATCTCGGGGTGTGATCCAAACTGGGCCTCTCCTATAGTGTCCTAGAGAGAATACAGCCCGTGCTCATAGGGTGAGGAACTGAGGTATCCAGTTCCAGTGTCCCTCCCCACTGCCCCAACCCTCTAGGTCCTGACACCCAGCAAAATAGCCTGACGAGGTTAAGGGGACACCAAAACGGTTACTGGGGAAGTTGACATTCCTCCCATCCTAAACCCACTTGCTGAGGCTGGGGCAGGCCCTGTATCTGCCTACCCTGGTATCCAGCCCAGCAGCATGCCAAGTACTTTTACGACCTTTATTCCATGTGATGCTCCAAAGAGGCAGAGATTAGTGTCCCCACTTTACAGCAGAGGAAGCTGAGTGCAGCCAGGATAAGAGCCTCATTTAAAATCGCAGGGCAGAGAAGTAGGAAAGTTCCCCCGAGGCCCCAAGTGTCCTGCTTCCTGGGTACTGAGCCTCCCTCCACGAGGACCCTCTTACCCAGAGACAAGTTTCTCACAGTCATCGCAGAAACACAGAGGGTGGCACATCTTTTGCATGGCATCTTTATCTGCGTCGTCTTGGCTCAGAAGTCTTTCTACTTCTTTTTGGTTACCTGAAGCAATGTGCTGAAAAGTGACATCAAAGATACTATCAATATTAAGAAATAATTTGCTTTTTAAAGCATGAAGTTTTTTGTTGTTTTTTTTTTAAATCCTCACCTGAGGATATTTTTTCCATTGCTTTGCAGAGAGAGTGGAAGAGAGGGAGAGAGAGAGAGAAAGAAACATCACTGTGAGAGAGACACATCGATTGGTTGCCTCCAGCACGGGGCTGGGGATCGAGCCTCTGGTCCTAGGGCTGACACTCTAATCCTAAGGCTAAGGTGTTACGTGCTTGAGTGATCCTTGCAGAAATATTTAGGTACGGATGGATGAACTGATTTGCTCTCTGGGGTTTATTTCAAAATAACCTAGGCGGATGGGGAAAGTGGGTGGGGGTACAGGTGAACTAAGATTGGGAGACAGCTATATGGGGTTTGTTCATGACACTACTCTTTTATTTTTGTAATTGTAAATGTAAGAAATTTTCCATAATTAAGAAAACAACATGATAAAATCCCCAAGGCAACAGGAGCAGGGAAGCAACACATTCAGAACCTCAGTGAGGATTCTGACACCTCACTAGAACAAGCCTTGGTCCTGTCCTCATACTGACAGTGTCCGCTTGGGGGGCAGGAAACAGCTGCAATTAGCAGGAGACCCCCACCAACAACCAACCCTGCAGGGCTCACCCGTGATTCCTAAATGTGTTCACCCAGGGAGTGAGATGTTCTGGGGAGCACACTGTCCCAGAAGGCACTCTGGGCCTCCATGGAACCCACTCTATCTCTGGGTGGCCTCTCAGGGAGATCTGCTCTCCCCTAGTCCTCGGTGACTGCAGGGTACCTCAGCAGCCTCCCAGGGGTCGTTAAGACCTGAGCGGGGAGCTGCGTGCATGTGCTGCCACATGATCAGACCACCACTGGGCAATGAGCTCCCAGCCCAGTGCATTCGCACACAGACACCTAGGATGCTGGGCTCCAGTGAGGTGCCACAAGCTGGCCTAAGGACAAACTATTTTGCCAAATGGAGAACAGAGGACAGCGGGGGCAGAGGGTTCCACATGTGGAGGCCCAGGGCCCTCGGTGAACCATCCAGCGCAGCTACAGCATAGCACACGCTGTAAAACCTCAGCATTCCTCCCACCCACTCTGAGCACAAGGTGCACTTCAGTGTTTAACTACGCAGACCACCCTGTGGATTCTGGAGACATGCCAGAAATGCTGAAAGATGGAGTGCTCCTCACAGGGAGACTTCTGGGTGTCTTACCTTAAACAGGCAGTCAATGGGAGTTGCAGTCATCTGAGACAGTAAGCTCATTCTCTGTTTGAGGAACAGCTTGTCACCAAATCCCTCAGACTCCTGCAGGAAAAACCCAACAGGCCGTTTTATCACACGTGAGAAAATGTCAGCGTAGGTCCTTCAGAAGAGGAGACTCCAGGAACAATCCTTGCCATCTCCCTAGATCAGGGTGAGCGGTGCCACGCTCTCCCTCTCACTGAGCCAGAGAGCCGACCCTCATCAGGCTGGGAGAAGGGCTTCCTGTCTTTCTCCAAAAAGCGGTGGCTCTGACGACTGTTTCCCAGTGGGAACCTGGGAGAGTGGAGGCACGCTGGCCATACATCGTGTGGAATGTGTCATCTCCAAGTGGGGAATGCTGCATGCACATACCACTCTCCTCCAGATGGACTCCTCCTCTCAAACCCCTGTCCTGGTCTGCACAGCCCTATCTCCTGCCATTTCATCTGCAGCCTACAGGCAGGACAACCGTTTGACAGGATGGTCTATATTTCCCAGTATCAACCAGCAGGGGAGAGAGGGGTCTTACTTTTTTTGTTTTGGTTAATCCTCACTCGAGGATATTTTTTCCAGTGATTTTTAGAGAGAGAATGGGAGGGAGGGAGGGGAAGAAAGAGAGAGAAACATCGATATGAGACACATCGACTGGTCGCCTTCTGCATGTGCACCAACCAGGGCTGGGGATTGAAACTGCAACCCAGCTATGTGCCCTTGTCCGGGAATCAAACCCGCAACCCTTCGGTGCATGGGCTGATATTCTAACCACTAAGCCACACCGGCCAGGGCAGGGGTCTTACTTTTTTAACATACTTATTAAAATAGCAAACAATATGGCCACTGGCCTGAAGTCCAATAAGATACTGGGATGTACCCCAATTAATAAAGTCAGGTCTTCATATTACAGGTAATAATTACCTAGATACAAAAATCTAAAAGTGAATCCTTACTTTATTTATTTTTATTTTTTATTGAATCTACTGGGGTGACATTGGTCAACAAAATTATATAGGTTTCAGGTATACAATTCTATAATACATCTGTATATTGTATTGTGTGTTCACCACCACAAGTCAAGGCTCCTTCCATCCCCTTTTATCCTCCCTATACCTCTTCTACCTATCTTTACTTTATGAAATAATTTCTAGCAAGGCACTTTAATGCTCAGTTGAGCACCTGCAACTAAACTGTCTAGTGACAAATTAAGTTCCTTAAAAAGTCTTTGGGTGGTAAAGGGAATTTTTTTCCAGCCAGCTGCTGCCAGAAGAACTCACCAACCCAGACAGAACTGTAGGATAAGGCTCTCTAAGTTCTGACTTACAGATACGGCTAAAGACAGCCAACAGCACCTCGGGGAACAGACCATTTCTGGGGTCTGCTGCCAAGCAGGTTCCCACACCCTGACTGCCCTCAGAGGGTTAACCTGGCAAACAAACACCAATACCTCAGCATTAGAGTAACTTTTGCTCCCAGCTGCTGTAAGCTATATAAAGCTCTACCTTTTTCACTTGGTGATTTATAGCTAGCAGCTTAGGGTCAGAAAACATCAAAGACATTACTGCTCAGGTAAACTCAGGGATCTTTCCTCCACTCTGGGTAACTATGTGAAAGGCAGTGATGAAGAGAGGCAAGTGTTGTAGGACTGACCTTCAGGGACGAGTGAGCTACAGAAGAAACAGTGTGTCAGATAAGACGTATTTGGGGAAAGGGTGAACACTACTCATTAGAAACCTGGTAAAGTGAGAAAGACCACAGCCTGCAAAGAGAAGGGTAATGCTTCCAGGGGTCTCCTCCCTGGCTTTTTTGTCCACAAAAGTGAAATTAGAGTCAACCCACTACTGTTTATTTTCAAAAAGCTAACAACAGCCTTTATGCTTAAAGAATGTTTATGGTCATCTCAAGTATGATTTTATCCTGGAGAGAAAATTTCTGTGAAACTACATTATAGAAAGAGTCAAGAGTAAAACAGGATTCAATTTACTAATATTTAGTCTTTAATGCTGTTCAGAAACCTTGCCTACTGTGTGGAGATACTCTTGGGCTCTTTGGCCAGAAAACAAACAACAACATATTAACAGTGGCCTCAAACATTCCTAGAGGGGCCCGGTCAGCATGGCTCAGTGGTTGAGCATCGACCTATAATCCAGGAGATCATGGTTCGATTCCAATTCAGGACACATGCCTGGGTTTCAGGCTCAATCCCCAGTAGGGGAGGCAGCCGATCAATGACACTCTCATCATTGATGTCTCTCTCTCTCTCCCCCTCTCCTTTCCTCTCTCTCTGAAATCAATAAAAACAAATTTAAAACAAAACCAAACCAAAAAAGTACCCTTAAAGGGAACTGCACTACTGAAAAGAACCCAGTCGGCAGCTAAGGCAGAGGCGCTACTACAGCCGGGAATCCCAACACTGGCATCACAGAAGACAGGAAGCCAGGGCACCTGCTCTGTCAATAAAGCAAAGAGCATCTCCCAGGCCTGACCCACTCAAGACCCACGGGACAGGCCCTCAGCAAGCCGTAAGGATGGTGCACACCTTGGCCCATCATCTGATGGGCCCAACCACCTACCATTCGGAAAGGCAGGCCAGGGTCAGATAGCCCTGACTAGAGCAGCCGGGGCTCTGTGCCACGGCCCCTTGCCCATCCACGCAGAATACACCAGAGAACCAGGAGTCAGACACCCACATGCGGGGTACTGAAGAGCAACTAAGGGCACCAGCATCACCTCACAATTCAAAAAGGCACTTTCAAATATTCCATGTGATTCTCATAACCACCCAGTAAGGGGTGAAGTCCCCAGTGGAGGCAGGAGGACAGACAGAGGCTCAGAGAGTCAAATGGGTTTGCGCAACCGCAAACAAGTGCTGGACTCACACCAACCCCGGCACGAGAGGGCCACTCCTCACACTCCCCAATCCCACCTGGAATATTTTCTTCCCCCCATTTTTAAATTTTCCTTTTCCCCATCACCACTTATCCCCCTTATATCCTTTCCACCTTCACCGGTTCCCCCTCTTCCGCCACATTTTCTGAAATAAAAGTACGTGTAGAGCCCTGGCTGGTAAAGCATCATCCCTGACACCGAAGGGTTAAGGGTTCAATTCCCGGTCAGGGCACATACTCAGGTTGCGGGTTCAATCCCCACTGCGGCATGTAGAGGAGGCAACCGATTGATGTTTCTCTCTCACATTGGTGTTTCTCTCTCTCTCCCCCTCTCCCTTCCTCTCTCTCTAGAATCAATGAAAGGAACATATCCTTGGGTGAGGATTGAAAAAAAAGTAGGTGTGGAAATTCAACCGGCACTGTTTGGTCAGCCACTTCCTTACACTCTGGGCAAAGGCCTTCATGTGCTGCCTTCCTGCCGACACGGAGAATGAGACGGCAGGATGGCCACGGTACAGTATGGGGAGCAAGGGGACAGGAGCACCTTCAAGACGTGGGCAATTCCCTCCAGGTGACAAGGGTGCTCCTGACCCCATCAAGGAACATCAGGGAATTCCTCTGCATCGTGGTAGAGCCAGGAAGGGAGTGACCTTTTAGACCAGTGAAAGGGAAAAAACCAGAAAGGCAGGAACATCCCAGAAAACCACTGCACAGGCACCACGGGAAAAACACATTCCTAGGCTTACTTATTTCACTGAACACAATACCCTCTAGGTCCATCCATGCTGTTGCAAGTGGTAAGATTTCATTCTTTTATGGCTGAGTAATAGTCCATTGTATATATGTACCATAGTTTTTTTATCCACTCATCTACGAGTGGACACACCACCGTATGATTTCACTTAAATGTGAAATCTAAAGAAAAAATAAACAAACAAACAAAACTGAAACAGACTCATAGAGAGTGGACCAGTGGTTGCCAGAGGGGAGGGGGTTGGGTAATAACTATGTATGCTGCCAGCTGGGTACTGGAAATATCATGGGGAACACTAAGAAAGTATATGATTGTCTAACCTCTAAACTGTACACCTGAAACACGAAACAAAATTGAAAGAAAGATGAAATAAAATGTTAAACTATGATCACATAGAAAAACAACAACTCACATTCCTAGCACCTCATGAAATATAATTTTCAAACTAAGAAACCTTGCTCCCTTACTATGGAGTGAGTGGCTACTGATTCTGCAGACACCTGTGCAGGTGGTGTGCACAGACACCTTCCTTCTACAATGTGAGTGATTTCCCCCTAAATCAGGAACACCTTTCCACAAGAGTCACAACCAGCCACATCTGAGATAAGCTGGAGAGCCTCTAATGTCACCTGCACACCTGTGGAAGATAAAACCAAAACCCAGACAAGAGCAGGACTCAGTTCTTCAGCAAGCACCATGAGGCCGGTGGGCCACATGCCACAGTCCAGTGGAATCTCAAATTTTGGTTAAAAAAGAAAAAAAATACTCAAATGTTAATAAAAGTTACCCCCAGCTAGTGAGTTTACAAGAGGCTTTTGTTTTCTTCAAATATTGTTTATAAGCAAGTATCAGTCTTCTAATAAGAAAAAGTAAAACTGTTCTTTTTGGGGAAAAACAATATACAATGCTGCACACAACGTAATTTCACCTATTAAAGTATACGTGAGCCCTGGCTGGTTTGGCTCAGTGGTTAGAGCATCGGCCCTCGGACTGAAGGGTCTTGGGTTCAGTTCTGGCCAAGCACATGGACCGCGGATGCAGGCTCAATCCCTGGCCCAGGTCAGGGTGTGTGCGGGAGGCAACCAGTCGATGTGTGTGTCTGTCTCTCTCTCTCTCCCCCTTCCCCTCTCCCTGAAAAAGCAGTAGAAAAAATATCCTCAGGTGAGGATAAGAATAAATAAGTAAATACACAAAAATAAAGTACACATGAACAGGAAAGAAGGGAAAATACATATACCTGTTAGTGATGAATGAATTCAGAGAAACTGCTTTTACCAAGTAACTGCCTGCACCTATCTGGACAGGCTTATGTTCTTTTCCAGATGTTTTAACTTATTATTTTGGGAGATTCTAACATCAGTAGAAAATTAGGATCAAATAAATGTTCAATCCTCGGGACTCTTGGTTGCAATACAGAAATCTCTTCACTTTATTAATTTCAACTTCATGATTTCTGTGAATATTGTCATGTTTTGCAGGTTGGTATGTAGTGAAATAGGCTAGCAATGCAATCTTGGTTTAAGACCCTCACAATTCACACAGAAATATAACCACCTCCGCTAGCCAAAGCTCACCAACCAACCAAGAAAATAATAATAAAGCCACTGAGTCCTAAAATTGCATACATTAATCTCATTTCTTGCCTATCATGATGAAGATCTCCAAAGCCTTGTTTCTAGCTTCCCCTCTGCCCATGTGCTTTTGAGGATGCAGAGGATGAGTGAAGCAGGATATCAACAATGTAAGTCCCAATGAAAACCCACAAACTTTCACAGCCAATCGGGTGCTCATGCTCAGTGTGCTGGGTTGCTGTCTGGCCTCGGGGTCCATAAACAGCTGAGGCCCCATTCTCGGGAGACCATTTAAGAATCCCCTCCCTCCACACCAACTTCAGAACCCATCAGAAATGCCGTGACATCCTCCAAAGAAATGCCAGGGCAGGAGGGGATCTTACCGGCGGTTTAACAGAGAGGCTTCCTTGCCGAATATATTCGATTGCCGCTTCAACTGAGGTCAGGCAGTATCCCAATTCATCTTTTGTTGAGTTGCTAAATCTGAAGTTTTTGATATAACTCAAATTTGCCATCCTAACAAAAGGAAAAAAGGTTTTATTGCTGTACACAATTAACACTTGAAGAAACAATGCTACCGGCTTAGGTGACTGAAGCTCGTTAGCTCCAGAGGACAATGACTGCCACCCCTTTGCCCTCTATTCAGAGTGTGTGCAATTAGGAAAAAAGTAAAACTATTTGTTATCTTCCTAGAATAGGCTATTTTTTACTTTAAAATTTTTATTTATTTATTAAAAGATTTTTTATTGATTTTTAGAGAGAGGAGAAGGGAGAGGGAGACATCGATTGGCTCCTTCCTGCACACCTCCTACCAGGATCGAGCCCAAAGCCTGGGCATGTGCCCTGACTGGGAATCGAACTGGCAACCTTTCAGTGCACGGGACGACACCCAGCCAACTGAGCCACACCGGCCAGGGCTGAAATAGGCTATTTTTTAGAAAGCTGATTATTGTAAAGGGAGCTGTGGATTCCCATGGGAAGATGAGCTTCGGGGCCACACAGCTTCCTGCTTAGCCACTGACTAGCTGCGTGCTCCAGAACGAGGAGCACAGGCTCTCTGGGCCTCAGTTTCCTCATCTACAAATGGAATGAGAGCCACCCACTGCCGAATGAAGGCGGGGCAGGCACAGACCTGACTCATGAAAGGTGCTCGATTTCCTAGAGTTATACTAAAACTACCACAGTACAGTGCTGCCATTTTGAAAAAGTATTTTAACCAAAAAAAATTACCAATTAGGTATTTCTGTTTTCACAAGCAAATATAACAGGACTGATAGCAGATCATCAGCACACATAGTCTCCAAGTTAACTGCAAGGACAAAACATGTTCAAAGTCATCATGAGACTCAAATGAACCAACAATTGTATCAACTCCCCACCATTCAACCCACAAACCCACAATCCAGTTAGATTACACATCAGGGAGAAATTCAATTGCACAATTTCCTTTACAGTGTCCTGAGCAGATGTCGGATGCCTCGCATCTCAGAGCATGTACAAAAGAAGGGAACTCCAAGCAGACCATGCCTCGCCACCCTCCTGATGGGCAAAGCCCAGCAAGGTTGGTATGTAGTGAAATAGGCTAACACTGCTGACAGCCTCTTTCCTCCTGAGATAATTTCTGTTTTACATACTGTGGAATCTAATGCTGACAGTAGCCTGTTTTGTTTTGTTTTATAATTCTCTCCCAAGGACATGCTTAGGGAAAGGGGGGGGAGGGGGAGAGAGAGAGAGAGAGAGAGAGAGAGAGAGAGAGAAAGAAACATCAGTTGCCTTTAGTATGTGCCCAGACCAGGGATCGAACCCGCAACTCAGGTCTGTCCCCTGACTGGGAATCAAACTGGCAACCTTTTGGTGCACAGGATGACGCTCAATCAACTGAGCCACTCCAGCTGGGCCTGACTTTTTTTTTTTACTTTAAAATTTTAAGTAATCCATTCACACATTTAAAAATTCAAACAGTGCAAAAGAGCAAACCGCGACTGTCCCTACCCTCCCTGCCCCCGTTTTCTTTCCCAGATGTACTGCTGTTGCTTCCTGTGCATCTTTCCAGACAGTCTATGAACTCACCACCACACATGTGGACACACAGCCACCCCCCTGTCTGCAGTGCTGCTGGAAGTACACCACATGCACTCCTGCTAATTCCACTGAATATACTTCCTAGGTCATCCCCTACCTGAAACACAAATATGCCTCCTCATTACTTTTTTCTTGGCTTATTTTGTTTTACTTTTTATAATGGAAATTTTGAAACATATACAAAATGAGGGCGAATAGTCGAAAGAATGGTTGAACCCCTAGTATCTATCTATCACCAGCTTGGCTCATTTCTGAGGCTGCTGTTCCACTGTCACCATTTTCTTACACCAGTCATGACACACCCACCCCACCCAATTAGCAGGCACCCACTCATCAGAACAGACCGCAGGGCGCTCATGCTGGAAGGCTGGCAGCACACCCCAGTCCTTTAAGACAGCACTGCTCCTTAACAGACCTGTGCATACGGATGGAGGCATCTACCCCTTGCTGGCCCCTTCCCCAGCACAAACCTCTCTGGCTCGGAGACTGTGTAATTAGCTGCACCACCTTTCGCAAGCAAACCAGCTTCTGCTGTGGGGAGGTACATCTGTTCAGCTGAGCCAGTTCTCTCTTTGCACGAGGTATGTTGAAGCTGTAAAAGAATTTGGCAAGTGACAACTTAAGAGCACAGGGTAAGGGCCCATCTTCTTTGGTCTAATAACGTACCTCTGATTTACATTTCTTGTAACAAACCATAAGTAACAAAAAATAAAAACAGAAACTCGGGAATCATCTGACTCAAGTCACTGGTGAAACGCAACAGCTTCAAATGTCTCATTCAGGCTGCCCAGGGATATAGCTGCACCAGAATATTAGGGGGGAAAATCAAATGTCCTTAGCCCCAAAATGAAACAGCTCAATGGGGGGGAAAAAGAGTAGTTTAAACATAAATACTTTAGCCTTCTTTTTTATCCTAATGAAACCTAAGTCAATTCAGAAGGAGCTGTCTCTTTGGCAGGGTTCCCTCAGCTGGGCAGATGAGGAGAGCGTCTCCATGCAGAACCCACTTGGGTGAGTTACGTGCCCACCTAGAGACCAATCATGCGAGACCACAGCCCCTGTAGCTCCCACCCAGCTGGCACATGGCAAACAGGTGCAGGAGGGTGACAGCTACAAACAATCATCTACCAACACCAGCCCTTTATCTTTGGTCACACATAACTGCACTGCTCCTCAGTATGAACTAAGTCAAATCAGCCAGCGCCACTGCTGCCGAGGGCGCCTCCGGAGAAACGCACCCCTGTCTCCGAGGATGCCACGCTGCTGCAGGGCACACCTTACCTGAACTCGGGTTTCACACCAATATCTTTCTGCTGGAGATCTTGAAGGCTTCTTGTGATTTTGTTAAAGGCGGCATCCTAACAACAGATTTTAACGAAGCTTCAAATTTCCTGGAAAGCACAGAATAAGGCTTCCATCCTGGGTGATGAAGATTTAGAACCTACCTCGCTTGCCTCCATGGTCCCCACATATTTAAAGATCAGATCATAAATATCATGCTGGACGTACATCTGTGAAATCAATAAACCCCAGTTCAGGGCACGGGGGGGCACCAAGGAAAGCTGGCAGCACTGCCACCTTCCATCCCCTCGCTGCCCTGGCCCCTTACCTCTACCGCCTGCTTCATCAGGCTCATCTGGGCCTCATGCCTGGCAAGCATTTTCTAGGAGACAAGAAAAGCACGGTTAACGAGCTTGGCTTTGCATGTGGGCAGACTGCAACTCTCTCTTTTGAGAGTCCTGCTGCTTACCAGGTGTGAGTCCCTCAGAAGGTGCTGGAGGCATTTGGTGTAGAGAGCGTTCACTGAGTCCTGTGCAACAGAGAAACAGGTCACCCTCATAATCCTAGGCCATAACACAAAACCCAGGACATGCCTGGAGTGAACAGAACATTTCACAAACTATTTCCTGGGTGACAAACTTTAAGTGCTAATGCAAGCTTATCAAATCAGTTATGTGACTTTTTTCAACTTTTTCTTTTTAGTTGTATATGAGTTAAGAGTAGAAAGAAATTCCTCTTGGAGTTAACAGAGATGATAATATTGATTTTTTATACCTCTCTGTGATTTTCAACTTTTCTACAGGGGCTTATACTACTTTTATAGTTAGAAAGAAACATTTCAACAAAACTCCCAACAGTGGAGGCAGCAAAGCTGCAGAGTAAACTGAGAGGAACCCCAGGGCTCTAAACTGGCCCAAGGATCGGGCATGTCTGGCAAAGCAAGACATAGCTACTGACTATGTGATGACGGAGGCTCTTTCTTTCACATTCCCTGAATGTCCGCTGGAAAGAGGCAATGTTCTTGTCAAATCTCTCCGAGTGTCTTCCCAAGAACTCTCTCACATCTTCGATGGTTTTCAGGGAAAAGGATTCTGAAGGTGCTGAAGGCTCTTCTGAAAGACAGAGGGTCAGGCTGACTGAAGATTTCATTGTTTCCTGACAGAGGAAGCGCCACATCCTTTGCCCTGCGTCCTCAGGGTCTGGGGCCCCGTCTTCCAGGGGGAAGGGGACGATGACCTTATTTCAAGATATTGCCCAAGGGGAGCCCAGTTATGGGACAACCCAGGGTCCAGAGAGCCTGGTCCTCCCGAAACCCTTTTCTGGGAGAAAACCTGGACTATTTGGGACAGTGGGCATGACCTGTGAGGCTCTGTTGAAGCCTTGATTCCTGATAATAAGAACCTCAGAGTGCACTTGGCACACTGCTGTCTCAATTTCCTGGAGCAACGGAAGATTATTTATTAAAAGTAGTGACATCTCCAAGAGGCACCAGAGTGGGGCTGCATGGGTGATAATGCTCTAAGAGCTAGCCCTAAAGCTGAGGCCCACAGACAAAGCCAGGGCTACCACTTTGCACAACTCCAGGGGGCGACATCTACACCGAGGCCTATGTGAATACTGCCTCCTGGAATTGTGTCAATTCCAAACTGCAACCATACACAGCAGCCCAGTCCACGCCTTAGCTCAAGACGACTTTTTCATTAAGTTCTGTGGGGAATTCTATAAACAATTATGCAACTTCCTAGTGGGTTCTTGACTATTTTATGGGATGTTTGCAACAGTTATGTCAGGAGGTGGTTCAACAAACACATTTCTCCAAATCATGAGAAAGGGGTTCCCTCCCCAAATACCTGAACTCTCTCTCTTTTCCAAAGGGTGGGCTATACACAGCAGGCTGAAACTTTCTTCTTTCTCATTGTAGAAAGTTTCTTCGAAGAGAATGGGCACTGAGAGAAGACAGGCGAAACCAGCTCCTAATTTAATCCTGTTTCCTTGTATAAAGACATCCTGGAACAAGAGAACGGTCACTGTACCACTAGGTGGTGACCATCGACCCCTCTCAGTCTGGACCCAATACAGCACTTTACCCTACCTGCCCTTCTTCGCTCCAATGTGGGTTTGTAGGGGCAGCACCACTTTTATTTATTGATATATACGGGGGGGGGGAGATTTGTTGTTCCACTTATTCATGCATCATTGATTGATTCTTGTACGTGTCCTGACCGGGGATCAAACCTGCAACCTTGCTGTATACCAACAACACTCTACCCAACTGAGGTACCTGGCCAGGGGAGCACTACTCTTTTATTTTGCTTTTTGATATGAAAATGTTTTTCTTTCCTCTTTGTTCACCCTGTAGTTGTAGCTACAATAGTATCCTGATCCTTTTTAAAAGCTGCAACAGAAGAAGCACTAAGCTGTTCCCTAGACTAGCAGAAACCTGCACCCTCTGGGATGGAATAGTAGGAAGGTTCTCCTATCTGAACAAAAGACCAATGTGTCCGGTGCTCAACACGGATGGGGCTGGACATCACACTTCAGTCCCCTTTGCTGCTCACCGCTCTGGCCAGGGCCGGGGTGCCCAGGGCAGACCCGCTATGATCAGCCTGACTGCTCTGCTCTCCTTGTAGGTTTGAGTACCCTGAGGAGAACAAAAAAACTAACAAGGGACTGGCAGCTGTGGTGAGCAGATCCCTGGCAGGAAACAGTGGCATGCCTCGTGAGCCACAGGGCTGCTGACCCCCGAGCCGGGGTCCAGGTCTCCCCATGACCCATCCCTCGCTGCCCCCACACAGTACCCATGAACCCCGGCTGCCGGGTTGGAGAGGCCAAGCTGTGCCCACACTGGTGAGAAGGGTAATGTGGCCCCCTCTCCTGACCATAGGAGACCGTGGACAGTCCTAACTAGGAACGGAGCCTCCCTCTGTCAGAACCTACCAGTTTACACTTAAAAAATAAGAAAATGCACACCCCAAGGTTAACACTGACAATGAGATAGGCTGACATCATGTGCCCCTGACATGATACACTGAGAAAGATAAAATACTCTTTGCAGGCATCCCTACCAAAACCGCACAACTGCTAGTCTAATCATGAGGAAACATCAAAGGTCCACACCGAGGGAGAGCCCACAAAGCAAAACAAAAATGTCAATGTCATGAGAGACAGACAGACTGAGGGCCTCTTCCAAATGAAGAAAACTGAAGATGCATTCTGTGACCCTGGATCTAGAAGGACAGTATTAGGGGAACTGGGACACTCTGTAAGAGAACAGGATGTTGGAGGATAGTATTCTGCCAATGTTAAGTTTCCTGAGTGTGATCACTGCACTCTAGGTATGTAGGAAATACAGACTGAATTGTTTTGGAGTAAAAGGACATGGTGTCTGAAGCTTTTTCTGAAAAAGGTTCAGGAAAAGTAATAATAATATGTATTATATATAGTGATAAATAAATGTGGCCAAAATATTAACAGTTCACCAATCTAGGGAAAGGGCATATGAGAGTTCTTTGTACTTTACTGAAGCTTTCTGTAGGGTTGAGATTATTTCGAAACCAAGTTTTAAAAAAATTAAAAATTCATCCCTGTTCTCCAACTTGTGGCCAAGAAACCAATGAGCTTTCAATGTCACAGGGATAAAACAGCTTACTCTGACAGGACCTCAAAGAGGAGGCATTCCAAGAACACCCTGACTCACTGGCTGGAACCCCAGGGGGCCGAGGGAGAAATGCCCAGCCCCTCCTCTCTCCCCAAGGCTGCTGTCAGGGCTCTGCTCAGCTCTACCATCTCCTTTCCTCAAAGGCAGCAGGCCCTCCAACCCCATCCCACAGGCTGCTGTGTGTGTCAAAGCCACCATTTAACATAGATGCGGAAGGGTGACAAGCAGGATTCTCTCTCCTGCACCCCACCCAAACACTCAGTGAGCAACGGTGGTTGACCCACAAATAAATGAATACCTTTCCATTTAGGGTCTGAAAGTGTTCTTCCACTGGTATCAAAATGTAGGACTCAAACTGACAAGTAGACTGAATATTGTTGGTCAGGCTTCCTTTGCAGGGCACTAAGACCTGGAAAAAATAATTAGGGTGAATATTAGAGATGTGTCATTTACTTCTGCAGACCAAGATGTACCAAAAAACATTCCAGGGGAAGTGTTGTGGGGACCTACTGCAGAGAGTGTGCCTGGGGTCATGTGCCAACACAACAGCAGCTGATGCCAGCTGACTTAACTTGTCATTGTGATGGAACCCAGGCAGAGGGAGGTGGCTTGCTCCCACCCCCCCAAGGGGTCCCGCCCCACAGCTAGACCAGGTGCCCCACTCAGTCCTCGACAGGCTCAGACACAATTCCAAACAGAGAAAGAATAGTTTGGAAAGTACATAAAAGTGAAACTAGAAAGTCACATGTAATCCCACCACCTAAATGATAAACACTGCACATGAGGACAGTGTCCTTCCATGCTTGTTTGTTTGTTTTTTTAAGATTTTTCAGCTTTTATTTTTCAAAATATGTTTTTATTGATTCTAGAGAGAGGAAGGGAGAGGGAGAGAGAGATAGAAACATCAATGATGAGAGAGAAACATCAACATTGATTGGCTGCCTCCTGCATGCTCCTTGTTGGGATCAAGCCCACAACCCGGGCATATGTACTGACCGTAAATCAAATGTCCTGACCGGGAATCAAACCAGAGACCTCCTGGTGCATGGGCTGATGCTCAACCACTGAGACCGCTGGCTGGGCCAGGCTAGTTGTGATCACAGTTTGTAACACAAGTCTAGGAAACTCAGTTTCCTATCGTAGGCTGTCACTTCCACCAGAGATGTCTTAGGATGCCAGACCTTTTCTTTGGAGCAGGTTCAATCTGAAATCTGAATTTTTAGTCCAACAGTGGCCACCTCAATGACAGGACACCAGCTTCTCAGCTCAATGCAGCAATGGGAAGGAGCTTGACTCAACACTACCTACTGCCCTGGTATGTGGATCTGTGCTTGGCTCAGGGACTCACATTTCAGAGGACTCTCAGACTCAAGAGTACCCGGAAGGACAATGACCTTCAGTGCCCCATCTCCTAAAGCAGCCCAGTGCAAAGCAAACAGCTTCTGCATTATCCCCACTGTACAGAAGAGGAAACTGAGGCTCCAAGGAGTTAAGTAACTTGCCCAGGGTGACACAGCAGTGGGTGACAGAGCCATGATTCCGACTCCTGTGCCTTCCTAACCACTGCCCTATCTTGCTGCCTCCTGGAAGCACTGCCCAGCACCTGCTGCAGTTTCCTCTGCAAAGACACCATGGAGCTCTGGAGCCTTTGGGACTCTCTAGTTTTCAGGCAGATAATGCTGCCCAGAGCATTTCGTTGCAAGCAGAAGCCAGTGGCTGGCTCTTGGTGGCTCTATCCATCTCCATCAGAGTCCTGAGTCCTGCTGAGGGGTGGGGTGGGGGTTGGAGGTAGGAGGAGCTATGAGGCTGCCCAAGGGAGGGGGATCAAGTGCCTTGGGGGCTCTCACAAGACAGAGCCTCAGACTACTTCTAGAACAGACATCATGGAGTAGGCCGTAAACTGGGGACCTACTCATTTCAAAGTTTAAAGGCAAAGGATAAAGGCAAGAATCAGCATTAGTGATAGCTACTCCAGGTTACCCTCCTGACTCCACCCCAGGTGGGGTTAGGCACTCGACAGGAACCCGTCACAACTTCTGTGCTGACACTCATTCCTCAGTCCTAGAAACAGCCTGTTTCTGGAATTTCCTGATGGTGTGCTGTGTTCCCCACTCATCCACGTAACCCTGGAAACCCAGCACAGTGCCTGGCACATAGTAGATACTCAATAAATGTTTGTTGGCTGGATCTATACTCAACAAATCCTGAGAACTGGAATGTGGCTATCAGTGCCCCTAGCTGGGCTGTCTAGGTATTTTACTTGAAAGTCAGTTCTCTGGAACTTACAAGACATGCTGCTAGGCTCCCAGGCTAGCTCTCAAAATCCTACCTAGTCTATAATTAAAGGACCACTATGAAAGGAACACATTTAATCTCCTTTTATAATTTTTGTTTTTCCTACAGGTAAATAGACCCACCCCAATCTACCTAGGAAACCTGGAGGACTTTCCCCCCAACACCCCACGGACAAGAGCCCCAGGGGTGCAGCCTGCTTTGAAGAAGTCACAGTGTATAATTAGCTAGATGGTTGTAAGGAAAGGGGTGGCTATTAGAAACAGTGTGTGGTGTCACAGGCCTCTATGATTGGAAACAGGAAATATGGGGTAAAGAGCTTCTGCTTTCCAGAGAGCAAGATGATGGCAGGAGGTGCGTGCCTGGACACGGAGGCATCCCCATCAAAGGCAGGCTTGGATGGAAGGAAGGAAGACTCGAGGAGAGGCTAAGGCAGGTGGGGGAAGCAGCCAAGCTGCAGCCTTAGCTGCCACACACACTTCACGTGAGGATGAGGTGGCTCCAAGCTTGGCTTACAGGGACAGGTATGAGGGGCAGTTAAGCTTCGGGGACACGCATGTTTAAAAGTGGTGATTTCACATTTTTTAGAGCCTAATAAAGGACTCTTATCCCCAGGGCAGATTCAAGGGCAACTGAATTTGGCCCAGTGGACAAGCCCCATGGGAAGAAATTTAGCATTCACCTGCTAAGGCCACATGGATCCTTTAGAGGTGGCAGAAAGGATGAGTGCTCTTCTAGAAGAGACTGGAATATTCTACTTTTCCTTTATCTACCAGAGGTGGAGGGAGTTCTGTTATGAATTAGACAGGGATGAGCCAGTGTTCCCATCACCTGGCCATCAGGGGGCAGAAGCTAACCAATAATATCTGACTTGGCTGAGGAGGAGAGCTCCTTCCCACCACTGCTGATTCCTGCTGAGAAGCTGGCCTCACTGATTCTGGAACTAAGCAAGGCTGAGGAATTCAGGGCTGCCCAATGTGGGCCCTAAGCAGCTCCTTGTGAATCTCATGGCTTTCAGGAGGGGCTGGAGTAAGCGGCCTAGGCTACCACTGGGAACTTGGGATGGTACAGTTTAAGAAGAATCTCCCATTCTTCAGTGTATCTAAAAGAAAAGTGACCAAGATACCAAAGTTCTTATTCAAAATTCCCCTTTTACTAAAGTGAGCTCAAGCGTGATTTTTCCATTCCTGCAGCAGGAAAACCACCTACTAGGTACCAGGCAACTGTGTTAAGTGCTGGCAACACAGTGGTGAGCGAGACAGACAGCACACACAGAGCTTACTGAGAAGTAACAGCATTCCACAGTGTGACATTTTAATTTTATTTTTTAATCTTCACCTGGGGATATGTTTTTATTGATTTTACAGAGAGAGTAAGGGGGGAGGGAGGGAGGTAGGAAGGGAGGGAGAGAGAGAAAGAGAAAGAAACACTTCGATGTGAGAGAGAAACATCGACTGGTTGCCTCCTGCACTCGCCTCCAACGGGGATCAAGCCTGCAACCAAGGCATGTACCCTGAACTGGCAATCTAACCTGCAACCTTTTGGTGTGCGGGACGACGCTCCAACCAACTGAGCCACCCGGCCAGGGCCACAGTGTGGCATTTTTAAAAAGTACAAGAAAGTTACATATGTTATCTAGACAGTATTTATAAAATATCTTAGAACAAAGATGGGAAGAAAATATTTCCCAAATTAGGTCAAGCTCTCCCGGTTAACATGATTGCTTTGCATCCTGTACTTTTTCTCTGTGACACAACTATACTTCACATATATTTGCCCAGAGTCTGACCATCTCTCCCACTAGAATTTAAGCTCCATAAGGGTAAAGATGGTGATTTATATTAATTTTTGCTGAACCTCCAGCACCAAACAGAGCCTTGCTTAGAGCAGCATTTATAACTAGTATGAAATGAACAGATAACAATGAATGTCTTTGGTGAGCTTTTATGAGATTCTTATTTTCTTCTCCGGCAACAGCAGTATTCTCTAATTGTTTTTATAGTGACTTTATGACTTCTGAAATCCAGAGTAAAAAAATTCTGGGAAAGCTCTGGGTGTTGTGTCCCAGTGGTTGGAGCATCGGCCTGCATAAGGAGGGGTCACAGGTTCTATTCCTGGTCAAGGGCGTGTACCTGGGTTGTGGGTTTGCTCCGTGCCCCTTGTTGGGTCGAGTGCAGGAGGGCAACTGGTTAGTGTCTCTCTCACATTGGTGTTTCTCTCTATCCCTCCCCCCCTCCCCCTCACTCTCTCTGAAAAAGCAATGGAAAAAAAAATCCTCATGTGACGATTAACAAACAAACAAAAATAAATTCTGGGAAAAATGTATGAATCACAAAACCAAGCATAAAAATCAGAAGGGACTTCAAGAAATCAGGCTTCTGGTGGCGTAGGGATGGATTGGGTGGAGCGAAAGTCCCAATTTTCCAAAGAGGCAGCTGAGAACCTGACATCATTGGGATAAACTGACTTCTCCTTCGGTTCAAATCCACAGCTTCCCGCCATACCTGAGTGAAGTCACACCCCATGGCAAGAAAAGAGGGGACACAGTACGAGAAGAGGACAGCACACAGAAAGAAGACAGGAGCCCAGTCGGGCGTGGTTCAGGGGTTGAGCATCAACCTAGGATCCAGGCGATCGGGGTTTGATTCCAGGTCAGGGCACATGCCCCGGTTGCGGGCTCAATCAATGACTCTCATCATTGATGTTTTTCTCTCTCTCCCTCTCCTTTCCTCTCTCTGAAATCAATAAAGATACATTAAAAAAAAAAAAAAGACAGGAGACTCCTCAAGCAGAGGACAGCCTAGAGGCACCCACACACTGTGTGCTGACTTGAGTGAGAACCTCAGAACTGGACAGACCTGCAGCGTGGGGCCTCCTCGCCAGCAGCAAGGCCACACCAAGGGCTACAGTCTCTCCTACACACTTCCCCATTCCTGTGACCTGGCTGCCCCTGAAGGTGGCTGAGGCTGCGGCCTCATCATAAACGTTCTTTCACCACAGTTCCTTCCCTGTTGGAAATGCCTTTGAAAGTGATATGGGAATGTGTTCCCACAGTCTCTTATTCTAAGAGAGGGAGCACCCCTCTCACACACCAGGACTTGTGAGGCCCTGAGGAGGAATGTGATTTCCGTCCCCAAGAAGACCTCAAGGTCAACATGGAAACAAGCAGAGGTAGATATCATGAGACCTGTGTCAACATGCGCTGAGCATGCAGAGATTATGCCCTGGGCTGGTACTCATTCAGATACCGAGCAGGGTCTGGGGCTTGTTCCACTGAGTGGGTTTGTAGCTGACTCTCTCTAAACTTAACCGAAGCCTGCTATATTTCTCACCTCACCAGCACTGCTTGGTCCACACCTAATGGAAAAGGACAGCCCTCAGGGTTGATGCACTTACAATGCCATGGGTTTGGGCCACCTTGTTGCACAAGTCGGGACGCCACTTTTGAAGGGCCAGGTAGAAAGGATTTTTCAGGAGATCTTCATCATAAAGAGCCATATGGACTTCAGATGGGGCAAAGTGAGACTCCTGGGACAAGGGAGAAAAAGGCAGTAAATGACCACTGTCAGATTTATATAACACATGAAAGTCTTGATCTGGCAATTTCTAAAAATGATCCCTGATAATGCAGTACTCTACACACCTAACACTCCAGCAGGAAATATCAAAGATAACCCATCAATTCTAGGATGACTTTTTTTTTACTGGTTGAACATATAAATTATGTTCAGAAAATTAAACTCCAGGTCATTGCAAATGTAAAAATGGCTCCTTTTAGAACATCCTACCTAACCAAAATTATGACTTTGAAGATATGCGCGTATTTTTAATGAAATATTTTAAGCACACAGAAAAGTAAAAAGTAATAATATAAACCACCACCCAGAATTACCAACTCTTAACACTTTACCATATTTGCCTCAGACTTTCTTTTAAGAAAGAGTGTATCAGAGTAGACTGGCACCCCCACTGTGCCTGCCTGATCTCACTCTCTCTCCTTCCAGAGGCAACCAAGATCCTGGAGTTGTATACCCTTCTTGCTCACAAAATTATTCCATTAATACTTATGTATTTATAAATAAGCTAGAATATTATTTTACATGGCTCAAAATTTACATATATGGCATCACACTATAAGTATTCTGGAACACACCCTTTTCAACCAACATTACGTTTGCAAGTTCTGTCCATGCTGATCCATACAGCTCTCATTCATTCACTGACTTCTGTATAGCGTCTTTAGTAAACATGATACAACTTGTTTATCTAATATCCTATATTTAAGTGGCTTCCACATTTCCAATATTACAAACAATGCTGGAATGAACACTCTATACCCCTGAGCACCTATCTAGGAATGTCCCCAGGAGGCACTGCACACTCTTCAGATGCAGCAATGCTGGACTGCTTTCCACTTCCCTGAAAAGTGCACGGGCATAACTCTTCCTCACATCGTATCCTAACCAACACTTACTGGTATCATCAGATTAGTTTGTTTCTGCCAGTCTGTGAGTATAAAACAGTATTTCACTGTTTTTATATTTTCATTTCTCTAATGATGTTGAACATCATTTCCTTATGTTCTATAAATTACCTTATCATGTCTTTTGCCCATTTTTCTAATGGGTTGTTGGCCTTTTTCTCATGATTTTTAGTACTTTATATATCTGGATACTAAAAGATGTTGCAGATATCTTCTCCCAATCTGCAACTTGTCTTTTCATTTCTTTCAAATAGGTGTTTTCAGAAATTGAAGTGTTTGACTTTAATGTAGTTGAATTTGTCAATCCTTCCCTTAATGGTCAGAGCTTTTTGGATTTTAGGGAATGCTATCATCTGGCATGTCCCTTTGCAAAGTAACTTACCCATTCCCCTAATCAGAAAGTGGTGTCTACTTCCCCACCCTTTGAATCTGAGCCAGCCTGTGATTTGCTGTAACCAGCCAACAGAAAGAACTGATGCTCTATGACTTCTGAGTGTTAGCCTCAACAGGCCTTGCAGATTCCATTCTCATTCTCTTAATGCCCTGAGTCCACCATGCTACGAAGAAGCCCATGGGATGAAAGACCATCAAAGAGGACAGCAGCCCAGGCGGTCCAGAGAGTACGGCCATCCCACCGGCTGAAGAAGAACCACCTGCCACCCCACAGAACAGTAGAAAGTTAATAAATTTTGGCAGTCTTAAACCACTAAGTTTTGGGCTGGTTTGTTAGGGCTAAAATGAAATCACATCCTTTCCAATACCAAGGCCATAAACACAGTCTCTATAATTTCTAAGAATCTTAAACATTTTCATTTTAGGCGGTCAATTCATCTTTCTTTTTATATGTTATATATAAATCAAACATCTAATTTAATTTTTTTTTATATGGCAAATTGTCTTGGTCTGTTTGGAATGCTATGACAGAATAGCCTAGACGAAGTTGCTTAAACAACAAACATTTATTTCTCACAGTTTTGGAGGCTAGGAAGTCCAAGATGAAGGTGCCAACAGATCTGGTTCTTGGTGAGGGCCCGCTTCCTGGACTGTAGACCTTCTCACTGTATCCTCACGTGATGGAGAAAGAGTACTCCTGTCTCTTCCTCTTTTTATAAGGGCATTAATTCCATCATGAGAGCCTTACTCTTAATGTGAGACTAATGTAACACTAATTAGATCCCAATGCCCCACCTCCAAATACCATCACATTAAGGACAGGGCTTCAACATATAAATTTGGGGTTGGGGGAACATTAACAATAAGTCGATTGTCCCATCTCTTTTTTTAAGATTTCTGCCCTAGCCGGTTTGCCTCAGTGGTTGAGCATCGGCTGCGGACTGAAGGGTCCTGGGTTTGATTCTGACCAAGGGCAGGTACCTCTGTTGCAGGAGGCAACCGATCAATGTGTTTCTCTCACGATGTTTCTCTCTCTCGCTCTTCCACTCTCTCTGAAAAGCTAATGGAAAAAATATCCTCTGGTGAGGATTAAAAAAAAAAAGATTTCTTACTATTTTTAGAGAGGAAGGGAGAGGGAACGAGAGAAAAACATAGATGTGAGAGCATAACATCAAACAGCTGCTTCCTGCATGCTCCGTACCAGGGATCGAGCCTGTAACCTGGGCATGTGCCCTGACCAAGAATTGAACCAGCTACCTTTCAGTGCATGGGATGATGCCCAACCAACTGAACCACACTGGCCAGGGCCCCATCATTGTTTTTTGAATAATCTATCCCTTTCACACTGGCTGATAATGTTACCTTTGTCATACTCCAAGTTCCCATATATGTTTAGTCTGTTTCTAGACTCTACTGTTTCAATGGTCTAGACCAGTGCCATCCAACAGATATACGTAGGAAATATAATAACATACATATTATGCATAGTTACATATGTAATTTTAAATTTTCTAGTAGCCACATAAAAAAAGGTGAAATTTAAATAATATATTTTATTTATCCTAATATGTTCAAAATATTACATTTTCAACATGTGATCAATATTTTAAAGTTATTAAAGACATATTTTACATTCTTTTTTTACTCCTATTAAGTCTTCAAAATTTGGTGTGGTCCAGCCGGGCATGGCTCAGCGGTTGAGCATGGACCTAGGATCCAGAAGATCGGAGTTCGATTCCCTGTCAGGGCACATGCCCGGGTTGCGGGCTAGGCAGACAATCAATGACTCTCTCATCATTGATGTTTCTATCTCTCTCTCTTTCCCTCCTTTCCTCTCTCTGAAATCAATAAAGTGCCCTGACGGGGAATCGAACCTCAATCTCCTGGATCACAGGTTGATGCTCAACCACTGAGCCATGCTGGCCGGTCTATAATAATCTTGTCACCCACGAACATAGTATGTCTTTCCACGTACATCTTCTTCTATGTCCTCCAATTAAATTTTCTCTATAAAGACCATATACAACTTTTTTTTTTATTCTCACCTGAGGACATTTTCTCCACTGATTTCTAGAGAGAGTGAAAGGGAAGAAGGAGGGAGGAGGAGAGAGAGAGAAAGAGAGAGAAAAACATTGGTGTGAGAGAGACACATTGCTTGGTCGCCTCCCCCACACACCTGGACCTGAGCAGGGAACCTGCAACTGAGGTACATGCCCTTGACTGGGAAGCAAACTCGCCACCCTTTGGTCCTCGGGCCAACACTGTAATGACAGCCAAACTGGCCAGGGCCACATACAACTTTTATTAGATGTTATTTATATATCCTGTACAGATTTGTTCCTTTTGTGAGTGGGCCTCCATTGCCCCTGATCTGTTCCTCTTATCACACATAAGTGTGGTTTCACTGAGCTCTCAGAGAGGAATATGGAAAATGGGCACAGAAAAGGAGCAGAGTTCTAGCCACGTCATTGCACCTCTCCGAGTCTCCATCTCACTCTGTGCAATGGAGAATACAAATATGTCTTGCAGGGTTCCCATTTATATTCCACCCTCATCACTTCTGCCATGCTGCATACCAATGTAACATCACTTACTGCTAGCCCACATGGTCCCTTCGTGAGAATTAGAAACCAGTACAATCCTATCCCAGGGCACATGGCTTGGTAAACAGTTCATAGGCTACCTATCAGCCCGTTTTCCAACAGTTACCCTCTCCCAGGCAGGGCACCTGTGCAACAAATAACCTGCATGGTGTACGCAATAGCTCTATTGTTAACGTTTGACATTTTCCTTTAAAAATCTACTCGAGATTCGATTCCTGGTCAGGGCACAAGCCCAGGTTGTGGGCTGGATACCCAGTCAGGAGTGTGCAAGAGGCAGCCGATCAGTGACGATTCTCTCATTGTTGATGTTTCTATCTCTCTCTCCCTCTCCCAGAAATCAATAAAGATATATTAAAAAAAAACCAAACCTACTCCCTTTTAAAATCTCTTTTTAAAAAAATTCTTACTACTACTTAAATGAAAAAACAACAACCACAAAACACCCAGTATCACTTTCCATAAAAAGAAGATAATCTTAAAAATAAAAATTATAAGAACAATTCACATTATTTAAAACCTTGCTAGATACTACTGTCTGCCAAAGGTTCTGCACTTGAGCCTGTGGCCTCTTCATTCAAAAGGGAAAATTAGCAACTATTAAGGAGCATCAAGCAAACTTACCCATGAATAATCAGATGAATGAAATATGAGTGAAAACTGAATTACTTTCTCGCTATGTAACAATATTCCAATATGCTTCCTTGGGAAAACACCAGAACAGTATGCATAAATATATTATTAATTCTCTCTCTTACAGTTATTATTGATAAAAACAGCCACCATTTGAGAACAGTATTTGTCCAGGCACTGTGGTATCCTCATCTCATTTTAATGCTCCTGATAACTATGGGTAACTGATAATAACTAATGCTCACAATAACTACAGGTATCATTAGCTCCAAGCCACAGGAAGAAACTTAGGCTCAGTTGGCCAACTCGAGGTTACACACAGATGTCAAAATTTATTCTAACGCCTATCCCTTTAACCACTACACCCATCATGTAAAATAAATATGCTTGGATTAGGGGTTATTTCATGAGCCATGGATGCAAGGATTCCACACTTCATTTCCCCTAAAGGAAAGGTCCCCCTGGCAGACAGCCCCATAGGCCCCACATGGAACCCCCTTGGTCTGGTCCAGCAGAGCTGTTCTGGCTGCAGCTCCTGGGGACTGAGCTCCCTGCAAATCTGCTTAGGGAGAAGAGCCTAGCATGAGAACAGCTACATATAATCCCTTCCTAGACACCAGAGACAGCTCTGCAACAATTTAGGTATTTGAATTGTTGAATTCAATTATTACGAGCCCAGATAATCCTTTTGTGAGTCCTTACCAGAATAAATGAATAATGTAATTTTGGTGGGCCAGAGACACAAGAAAACAAAATTCTTCCAGGTTCCTGACACAGGTGGTTCTACATGGCAGAGTGCAAAAGTAAAGATGCCTTGGACAAAAACCACCTGAGAAACAGGGTATGATATGGTCGGACTAAAGCTGCGAAGGGCTACTCCTGCTCTTCCTGAAAGATCCTGGCAGAAAACTAACATTTCCCTCCCCAAAATGAAGGTGACAAGGGATGGCTTTGATGGAGAAACTGATAACCTGGCTGGGAGGGAAGGAATGTGCACCAGAAGAGTAAAACCAACCCAGAAAAGTGCTGGGAAAAGTGAGGACGAGAGAGAGACAGGAACAGCAGAGAGGAGGTTGGGGGCAAGAACTGGGGGAGGCATCCTGGCAGGGACCAGAACAAGACCAAAGGTTCAGGAGGCAGGTAAAGGTTCTTGTGGGCACAGAAAACCTGAGTAACCTTTTTTTGACTTGATGAGTTCAGGGAAATAATAAGAATCCAAACAGAGTGGGCCAGAGAGGGGCAGCAAGGTAAGAGAAGGCCCCTAAATGCCACATCAAAACATTCAGCTCAAACGCATAAACTATGGAAACACACAAGACTCTTAGCAGGTATTGCTGGTGAATGGCATGGAGCTTACTGTTTTCAGCACCAAGTCATCTGCTTTCTTTTGGACATCAGTCCTCCTGGTTGCCAGTGACTGAACCCTCTGTCCAGGATAGATATTCAAAGAGCTCTGTCCAGTACTGTACTCGACCTTTCTGTCCCAGGGTTAAAAATATGTAATAAATCACATATAATCTGGAGCTTATTGCCAGAGTTGAATTCTTACATAGGAGTAAGTGATTAAAAATAATATTTAATACCCTGACAAGTTTACTTGTAAGAATTAGTTTTATATTTTAAAATACCATACAAAGTAAACTGACTTTTTTCTTGTAAAACTAAAAAGATGAGTGAATCCTCTCATAAAACTTAAAAAAAAAATTGTACCCCTGCCCTGGCAGATGTGGCTAAGTTGGTTGAGTGCAGTCCCATGAACTAAAAGGTCACTGGTTCAATATCCTGTCAGGGAACATGCCCAGGTTGTGGGCTCGATCCCCAGTAGGGTGTGTGCAGGAGGCAGCCAATCACTGTTCCACTCTCACATGGATGTTTCTCTCTCTCTCCCCCTCTCCTTTTCTCTCTAAAGATCAATAAAAATATTTTTTAAAAATTGCGCCCCTGCCTAAGTTCAAATAATGGGATCATTTACAGAAAATCTAGTAAAGTTAGTCAGAGATCAAATATCCCTGAACATGAATTATCTGAAGTTACACTGTGATCAGCACAGCCAGGCAAGGACTCAAGCCAGTACCAGGTATTTCAGGAGGCAGTGTGCACACTTGTGGTTTTGTGGTCTTCAACTGTCTTGCTAGCCTGGATGACTCTGGCTGGCCAGGGACAGCTGGTGACAGTGTGCAGCCTGGCTCAGCAGAATCCAGCATAGGAAAGTCTGCACCTCCCAGAGATGCACTCCCTGCTGAAATCTCACTGCTGTGGCTATTCCCATCCTTCCAGGGACCTGACCAAAGACCCTGACCAGGCATATTTTCTAACTGATGAGCAATATTTTCCAGCTGGTTTAATGTGATTCAGAAGGAAAAGGCTGAAAGGAAAAACCTTCTATTCATCTATGTTTAATGTCAAATGGAAGCAATTTGATGATATAATGTACGGTGTTATGGTCACTTGTGTCCTTCTGGTCTATAACATCTATGGATCTCATACATATTTTTCTCAAAGCTCCTCTTTGAAACACCAAGCTGTACCTGGCTGCCTGGTTCACTGTAGACATGTTAATGGTTCTCCCACTTGAATAAAATAATAGTGGGGTGTTAGAGGAAGCTCAAGTTCCCAGGGAGGTACCATCTCTCCCCGGAGCTGGAAATCCACTGTCCATAACCAGGGGAGGGTGAGGGGATGGCCCTAGGCAGCCATGCAGGCATTGGCTAAAAGACAGAAACAGTGTCCTCAGGGCTTGCGAAACACAGTGACAGCTGGACAGTGGAGGGTCACAGAGGGAGAGAAGGCCTCATGGCTGGAAAGGGGTATGACCACCAAGGGAGCAGGAAAGTTTGGAGGAACACAACTGCTCCACAGAATGCCACTCCATCACCCTGCTCCTGGAGTTGTAGGTGAAGTCACCAGCACCCACCTCCCTGCCAGTATCTTGGACAGAAAGGCAGGAGCTCCAAGGGCCACTTCTCAGTGTCTCTCAGATGTGGAAGCAACCTGAGGACAAACCAGGTCTGGATTCTTCAGGTGTAAATCCTCCCTAGGTGCAGTATCTACCACCACATGGTCACGTTCCTCTGCTCCTCTAAAAGATGAAGTTACCCAACACCGACCTAATCTTGGCAGTTCATAAACAGCGCACGCACCTGCGCAGACACACTAACAGCGCACAGACATGTGAGTAACAAAGACCCAGCGTCTGCCCTCATGAGGGCAGCACAACCCAAGAGCCACAGGGAAGCATAATCAAAACCTGACCACAGGCCCTATGCAGATACTACAGCTCACTCCCCCAGGATTATTTCAGAAGAGCTTGCCCAAAGGGTCTACCCAACTTCACAGCCTCAGCTGCTTTCTTGTCACTAGGGCTGGTGAGAAGTATCTGTTCAAGCTCCCATACTGCACTTTCCCCACAGGCTCTGCCTCCCGGTGTCACTCAAACTTATTCACTGGAAAGACCACAAAGTGATCTTTCCAACACTGAGGTCTGTGCAGGATTCCAAAATGACTTCTACTCCACTCCCTACTACATGAACTCTCAACACATCTGCCTGGCATTAAGGGCCTCTCCTATCTGATCTCCCACTCACCTCTGCAGCCTCATTTCCTTCTGCTGTCCCCACAGCTTCCCAGAGAGATGTGTTCTCCCTCCTTCCACTATTTTGTCCTGAAAACTACTCTACCTCTACCAAGGCGCCCATTTGGCAGGTGGGTGGCTGAGGTCCTCCACCACAAAGAATGGCCAGGGTTGAGAGAACCTGAACCCTCGCCACAAATGGCCACTGAATCAATGGATTAAAGTACAGACTGCTGAGTAAGAGCAAGCCCTGAGGCCCAGCCCTCTGGACGCTCCAGAATGTCCCAACACCTAGACCAGAGAGGTGACCTAGAAACACTAATGTCCACTGCTCTTCTCTAACGCTAGTGCAATGGTGCATTACTTAAAATAGGGGCCTATGTCCAGGAAACCCATAAACTTAGAAAACCCCAGCTGGCTCTAACTAGTAGTCCCTCCAGTCTAGCCTACCCCTCATTTCTTGAACGTCCTAAATCCTCACTGAAGACCAGACACTTGCTCTCGTGGCCCAGCAAGGGCCCCAAGTGCCCAGGTCCCCAGCACCTTGAGGGGCACGGCCTAGCTCTAGCACCTCTGGGCAGTCCACTTCCAACAAAATGGAACTGAACAGACCCAGAGTCCGTATTATCTCTTGGTGCTTAAGAGTTTTCCTGGAGTACTCTCTACCTAGGCGGACGAGGAGACCCCACCCCGCGAGAGGCGAGCATGCAGGCGTTCCTTTTTCCTTCCCCTGCGCCTTCATCAGCCCCCTACCCAGGGCCCACATGCGCCCGGCCCGAGACCTGGACACCCACCAACAGCCTCCCCTCCACCCTAACGGCCAGGCCGCCAGCAAATCCAGGAGGCCACTCAACTCAGGAGCGAAGGTCCCGCCCACTGCCCCCAACTCTAAACTCCGGAGACCAGGGACCCGCTGAACCGTCGCAGAACCGTGGGGTCAGAGGGCGCATTCTTCCCCACCTCACCCCACCCCGGAAAGGAGAGGCTGCACAAGTCCCGCCGCAGACAGGACCGGAAGAGCGCGGGCGGGGCGGTCCATCGGGCAAGGGGTCGGGGTCCTGGGGGTCGCCAGGGGGCCACCGCCCCAGCCAGGGACGCCCTGAGGCGCCAGCTGCAGAGAGGAAAAAAAGTACCTCCCCCTTCCCGCTCCGGGCCTCCTCCGGCCTCTGGGCCCCGAGGCGCAGCCGTCCCGAGGGAAGAGCGGCACGGGAGCAGATAGGAGAGAGACTTACTTAAAAGGCTACATAGTTTCACTCCCTGCCCTTCCCGGAGCGGCGGCGACACCTCCCGGACCATGGGCTCGGGCCTCCGGGACCACCACCCCAGTGCGTGGCCCCACTTCACCGCCCACCCTTTTACTCTACGGTTGGGCGGAGCCGTACCTCAACCCCGAGTCAGCCCAATGAGCGGCCGCCTTTACCCAGAGTGACGTGCGCGCAGAGCAATCATTAAGCCCGCCCAGCAGGGGGAGGGGCTCAGGCGGCGCACTGCGCGTCCTACTGAGGCGGGACCGGCCCAGAGCCCCGACTGCGCGTGCCCGGAACGGAAGAGGGTGGGGCCGAGGGCAGCTCTGACACTAGGGAAGGGGTTTAAGCTTCGTCTCTGGAAAGCGGGCTGGATCTAGATGGGGAGACCCGGGACCCGTGCCGCCCCAGGGATGGCCCTTCACTGCTTGCTTTGGAGGACGGAGGTGCCCAGTCCTACGAAGCACATCACTCCCGTCGCTG